TGGTTCAAGCGTTTCAAAAATCAATAAATTTTCATAATAGCCACAAAACCAGATCAAAAACACAAAAAAAATATATAAAAAATCATTATTTTAACACGGCGCACGAACTTTTTCCTCAACCTAATAAAAATCTTTCATTTTCTGCAAAGTTCATTTTCAAAAATGAAAATGAAACTCGCTAACTCAGCATTTTCAAGCTAATGTAGTGTGGAGATGTTTTGAAACAAGAAATAAAACATCAGTTGGAACATTTATGTGATCATCGTACTTTGCGTTTATATAGATATGCCGTTACCGATACAATAAAAAAATTCCACATCATAGAATAATGTTAATCATATATGAGAATTTTGCGAGACAAAGTAAAGAAAACGCTGTACACTATAAGTGAAAAAGAGAATGCATTACTGTTGCTTTTGTTCAAGCTCTAATGTAATACATCAATTTAAACAAGTGGGTAGGAACTCATTGTGGCAATTCCACATTGATTGTTCTTATTACGAGTCATCCAGATATAACCATCATTCCCCCACGATGTTCCCCATGAATTTTTGACTATATAATAATCTTGTGTACCTGTTGTATCATAGCCGACAGCCAACACACCATGATCTAATGATACTGAACTGCACTGGAGTTCATTGTATACACCTGAATGGTAAAATTGAAATGAACCGTGACTAGCATCTATAGCTACCGAGATGGGTCCCACGGTTGCAATAGCCGCTTGTAAATCAGCTTCACTTCCACTCTTGATATCCGTATACCCTTGAAATGAAATGTCAGATATTATTAATATAGTTATTTGTCAAAAAATGTTGAAGAATGTTATACCTGTATCATTGGCACCAACGTTTTCTGGGTTGAAACGACATACGTCATTACGTGCTTCATATGGGTACGAGACTTCAGTATCAATTCCGTTGTTAGCTTTGATATATGCAAAGGCTTGATCCATTAAACCTCCAGAACAACCCATATTACCAAATTTACCACTGCAATCAACGAGATTTTGTTCGGAAAGGGAAACCAGTGCAGAGTATTTTTTGAAATGTTGACCTTCTAATGAACCAGTAGCACTGAATGCCCAGCATGACCCTGGAAACATAAGGTTACTTCGTCTAAAAAGTATAGCGAATTTCTTTGATGTGACTACTTACCACATTGGCCTTGATCCTTAACCTCTGTGACGTAACCTTGTTTACGCCAGTCTGTAAGAAAACAACTTTTAGTCGATAGAGGCAGATTGTTTGCATAGCTTACCAACCGCTGCTGGAATTTCGATGTTCGATAGTGGAAGAAATGTATGATGGTCAACTTCACTACCAACTGGAAGACGAGTTGGTTTTAAACCATTCATTTGTTTAACAAATTCTTCGTGTGCCTAAAATATTAGACGGTGTCAACGAAATAGAGGAGAGTGCTTGTTGTTTTACTTACTAAATCACCATATTTGTTCATTTTCATTGTGTATGTATGAAGACCGAGATCAGCTTCCAAATTGTGAGTTCGAATTTTGGCAACATTTGTTTCCCAAATTTCACGTCTATATGTTCAAACAAACTAGATCACAGTTCAGAATTGCTCGTCTGGTTGATGAAGTGCTTACCGATGTTGTTCCTCTGCAACTGAATACTCCTTGGCATAAAGACGTTTGAACAATTGCCATGGTGCGTCCAATGATGAATCAAATGTTGGCGCCGAATAAGCAACAGCAACAAACATTAAACATAACACAGTAATTACTTTCATTGTTGGTATATGGTGTTGGTGTGTGCAAAATACGGAGGCAACAGCAAATAATTTTTAAATGAAAGCTCCCTTTTTATATATACTATAAAACTTCTTTTACCGTGTCATTGTGTGACTGATGATAAGAAGCGGCTCGAGTATACTGACCATTGATAAAAAATTGTTGATCATCATAACCATGAGAAAATGATGTAAAAGGTGTAAAAAAACAACGAAAAATACACATTTTTTATGTCTAATAAAAGTGACAATGTGAAAAACATCATCTTAAATGTTTTCTTAAGGTGATCACTAGAAAATGTTGTCATCATGTAGAAACAATATCGGTAGAAGGAGAATTCTCAAGAAAATCCGAAACGATTTTCGTTCAGAGTATGAAAACTGAGTTGTTTATCTTGGTCTCTAAAGTATATGTGCTCAATGTTCGTTTATCATGATTAACTCTATTGGATAACTTAATATCTCGTTTGGAACTATCGACTCAAGTTCGTTTAGAAGAAACTGAACGAAAAGATGAATGCTAAAATTCGTGGTTATTACAAGTTTTATTATTCTCGAGCGCATACTCAACTTGAAGACTGTTGATCGATATTATGGATCTAGTCCATGTAGACGGGTAAAATGACTAGCCAGAAATCTAGTCACTTCTTGACGCTCTGACCGATCCATGACTCGTATTGTGAAACGAACTTCCTTGCGTAGTCCTAACCACCGCTTTTCTAGAGCGAAACATAAAAACTAAAAGGGATTCATTCTAATTTCTAGAAACGAGACTGCGAAGCTTGATCAGTTTGATCCTTTTATTGCTATTATTGCAACATCAACAATTTGACAGCGGCGAGCAGTTTAAAATGTGGTTGACAAGCAACCTTTTTCGAACCCAAGTGATTCTTCGGAACTATTGCAAGGCCTGGTGCGAATAGTCGATAATGCACAAGAAGAACGACAACTGAGAGAGAGTTGTATTAACAACTTCAAATGAACGACCATCGGGGTCATCTAACATTCCACCACCGCTGTTCTGCAGAAAGGAGGATGAGAATGTTATCACTTGGCTCTTTCAAGTGGATGAAGTGTATGGAACATAGAAGGTGACTGGTGAAGATCAGCTGCATTATGCCGAAACGACATTATAGAACTTTTAGTGCTGAAAGCAGACCTGCGTTATTTGTCAGCCTGTTAATTCGTAAATATCACTATTTGGCAACAAGAGTATTGTGGCGCTATTCGGTCATTACAATAATTTTTACAAAAACATCCTGGGTCATTTTTTCTTTAAAACAGTACCAAAATCACCAGAATCACTCGAATTCTTTTCCTTAACTGAAGTTTATTTGATACATTGTGGTTTAGGGAAACTGCGTAACTCGCTTTGGAAATGTGTTGTGTTTGAATGCATTACACCTTAAAAGTATAAAATAGCATCGTTATCAGCTGCAATCGATAAATTATTGGATTGGAAAAGATTGTCTTTAGAAATGACTTATCCTTTAACTGCTTTTTATAGACCCATTTGAAAACCTCTCTCCAAAAACAATTTTTAACTTGTGTTGCTCTTGAAACACACCGTAGTAGATGCACGTAAGAGAAGCACTCCACTTGCGTAACGAGGCCAGTACTTACCTTATTGATCGAAATAATTATACTTGTAAGTACGTGATTTTCACTAGACAAGCACTTTCACAAAGTACTTCGTAGCAAAAAGAATAAATATTGCAATTCTGGCGCAGTAATTATAAAAGTATACAACAAGTAAGTAATTTGGAAAATATTTACCATTTTTTCTTAGTAGTAGGGTCAAATTCGATCACTAAGGATATTTCCTAAGTTATGGCAGCGAGTGGGTAATGAGAGAGAAAAAGATCTTAAAGCAAATGACAGTGACCGAATAGCGCCACAATACTCTTTTTGCCAAATAGCGATATTTCTTACTAAACAGGCTAAGACCTAACGAGGTCTGCTTTGTACACTGCTTTCAGCGCTAAAAATTCTACTGTTCGAACTTTTCCTATTTTTATTTATTTCATGTTATTACGATATCGAGAATTTCTGATAAAGCGTATTGTGAAGTTTGCAAGCCATTTTGACATTCTGCATCTACAAACTATTTAATTCATATAGAAGCACTAATCACTTCAAATAATAGTTTTTCCTGGATACTTATGCAATTAAAATTTTTCTGAGCACACAGATTTGTGAGCAAACGTTTCGGATCAAAATAAGGCCTCGCACAGTGGGCAATCACATGGAAATTAGGTGAAAAAGCGAACGCTACTTTTTTAATGATTTAAATAGTGTTTTATATACACTAGCCAATGGCCAATTTAATGGTGAAAAATATTTGATCCAAATGCTTTAAGTGGTCGAGATGGGTAAGTCCCAATTTTTTCCAATTTTTGCTACAACTCGACGAAAATCGTTTTCTCTTGTCAAATAGGCAGCCACTTAAAAATTGTAATATATATTCTGAAAGCTGCGCACTTGGGCTATTGATTCGTAAAAACTTTTGTCCGCACGGGTTTGCGAAAAGGAAAGAACATGATTTTTATCTGCACGAGATGTCTTTCGGAAACATGCTCCCAGTAAAGTGGGGTAGGATGTCCAAACTTGCTCAAACATTTCTGGGTGTTCTTGTAGACTTTACAAAAACCCTGGGTTTTTATCATTTTCTCACGGTTTTCTTAGTAAAAAAGCGTTCCAGCTAAAAACTGAGGCAGATTCGAAATCAGCGTGAAAAACTGCATCTAATCATGTGTCTTTCGTCCAGTTTCGACGAACTCTTGCTGAAGTTTGATGAACAATTAGTTTATTACACGATTGTATCTGATGGGGTCCTGTCGTTATAATGTATCGCTACTATACCGTTGTTTACAAAAATTTTAGCGGAAACTAGCTCTGCTTAGAACCACACAATATATGGATAGTTTACGCTGGAAACAGCGATTCTAAGGTTTTTCTCTAAACCTGTAGCTGATGTTTTAGTATGGCACCTTCGAGCTTTCAGAAACTGTGAAAACAGTTTTCGGCAGATTTTCGACCATGGCGAATCTAATGATGCGGTTCAAAAACTTTTAAAGTGGTTTTCTAAAGGGTTTCCAGAGATCCGATCTCTAGAAACCCCCTCAAAAAACAGTTTTTGAAGGTTTTGTAGTATCCTTAGAAAGAGCATGTGCGAAAACCTACAAACGCTATATTTCGAGTGAAGAGGAACTATGTTGTACCAAGCGTCTGCCTGCCTATGGAAAATTGCCCACTGTGCCTCGCACAACTGTTTGACCTTGTATCAAAAAGTTACAGGCAGTTTCCTAGCAGTCCAAAAACTGAGCATTTTATACAGCATGGAAATGAGCATTTTCTCTACATGGAAGTTATACCTGAAGTGTGTTCCAAGATTTTTAATAGCAGTTTGTCGTAGAGAGTTCATTCTCTTTTTGTTTAAAAGAGGAAAAGAAACTATTGGACTGACAAGTGCCGATTTTTGAATTAGGTCCTAGTTTTTTGTCAAATAGATTTTTCCTATACAATATGAAACATTTTCAAAAGAAAAAGTTCGAGTTGATAAGCACCTCGTTGCATCTCCTTTAATCAATGAACTACTGCCTGTGTCCTGTAGAACGTGAGTAACATTTAAAAATATTACTCACGTTTTATAGGACATAGAAAGAGAAAACAACAGAAGCGTTTCGTGAGAAATATTATAAACGTCACGTTATTTTCTGTGATTACTGCTATCTACAAAAAACATTTTTTAGAAACCCAAAACGTCTTTCATTGTTAATCAAACCATTTTGGTACTCTGAAAACTAACGTTTAATTTCTTTTTGATGTATTATGAAAAACCCCGAAAGTATATTAGAATAGTCACAAAACCAGTTTTGGTTTCTAAATGGAAAGGCGGTAAATAGAATATTTTGTTCTTTCACACAGATATCAAAGGTTTAAAATGCAATACGACTGCGACTACGTACTAGTTCCAAGTAGCTGGTCCTATTTCTTATTCGTTTAACCCTTTCCAGCCTGCTCCTAGAAAGCAAAGAGCAAAAAATTCTTTTCCTCCATAAATATTATGTAGGTATGACAGTGAATAAGAAACATTGTTGCTTTGGGTTCATATACCTTGGTAATAAGGAATTCTTCGATGTTGCCATTTGGCAACATCCGGTCACAAGGGGTAAAAATGGTGTGGAGTTCATTTTTCTGTCTTCATGAAACACATGTATCACTTTCCACTATGCTCATTTATTTATAAAACGTAAACAAGAAAAAGCCTACAGATATGTATAGGTGCCGCAGATAATGACTTTGAAAATAGAGAAAGCTAAGATGTGAAACGTCGTCAAAAAACGAAAATCTATCGATTGTGATAGGATGTGAAGTAATTGTTTTTATCATTCATACAAAGACGTACTTTGCATCTTGAGCATGTTATTCTGGTATATCCAGAGCAACCTGGATTTCGGCAACGGCCTTTTTCCGTATGAATAGGCCAATGATCATACTTGTAGAAACAAGAATTTGTTGATGGAGCTGGACCAGGTGCAGTTCTAGGTGGAATTGGTGCAAGATTTTCTTTATCTATTGAATGTAATGATGGACGGCCACGTTTCTGTGATGATAGGGGCTGTGGATTCGATTTCAATAAATCTTCAGCTACACTAATACGAAATGATAGTAAAGACATAATGTCCTTTTTTGGAATCTTAAACTGTGAACAATGCCGTCGATACAGGAGCCGAGCATTGACTAATGATAAATCAATCAGGTGGAATATTATCTTGAGATAATATTTTTACGAACGTATATTTATCCGATACAAAGATATCAACATGTCGATCAGGTCGATACCACCCATGTGTTAATTGTAAGATTTGACAACACCTGGTTGTGTGATCTGTATGTATTTCTTTTCCTTTCGGCGACCATCGTTGGACTAAATTGATCAGATGGCAGCCATGTAGTGTTGACAAACAATTAACAACATTATTATCATACCAACGCGTGATACATAATTGAACTCCATCAATTTCGGTTACTCGGTGGTCCATAGCTCCTCGACTTTCTTTTGATAATTCATCTTCGTTTTTCATAACTAAACCAGCGAATCGATTAGATTAATCGTGCCAACAGCAGGAATTCCTAATTTATACAATTCAACTTGTAATTGGATCGTGGTGTAATAGTTATCGAAATACAATTTATGATTGATCCCATGTGGTACCGTTTCATAAAGTTGAAGAATGATTTTGTACAAAAACCATGTTCTGATTTACCACTTTTACCGGTAAAAAAGACGAAATCATAGCAGATTCCACTTTCAGCGCCAGCTAAAAGGAACATTTTGTAACCTCATCGATCTGGCTTCTTTGGCATATATTGCTTCATAATACTACGTCCTTTAAAAGGAATAATTTGTTCATCGGCACTTAATTTTTCCTCTTTTGGAATTCTTCTGAAATTGTCTTTGATAATATACAGTAATGGACGAACTTTGTGTGCTCTATCGAAATTGGGATCTTTATTGTCTGGTTGGTTTGAATTATTAACTGCACGAAGATATTTTTTTATTAATAAAAATCATTCTTGACTCATAACTGAGGCAACAGAATCGACATGAGTGCCACTCGTCCAAAAGAAACGCTGTTGGGGAAAGGAATAACAGGTCAGAATCAAAACACCAATAAATTGCTTGATCTCATTTTCAGTGATACGGAGAGGTTTGTTCGGATTTGTTTACACAGAATATCAATTTGACTGATATGTTAAAAGCTGAGTGCTTTCTTTGCCAAAAATTAAATAAAATATAATCCACAGGATTTAATTCTTGATCGGGTGGCGGTGGTAAGCTTTCGGTGAAATCTGCTGGTGGTGGTGAAAAGTCTTTTTTCTTCCAATGTAATTTCTTTTTCTTCTTCGATTGATGGGTCGTCCGTGAAATTGCTTCGCTATAATCTTCTTCACTTGATGATGATTGGTCATCAGATGTTGATTCGTTCAGTAAACTACGTTTCACTGCATCCATTTCATCTTCTGACTCAGACGAGTCAACTTCCTCTTCGCTAAGTCCTTGGGGACAACAGGATATCTTTTGGATGATCGTGTATTTGTCATAATTGAAAAATCTGTGATCAAGCTTTAAAATTAATTGTCAAATACTGAGAAACATGCAACTCGCGATATTTTTTCTGAGAATTAGATGACGAATATGATCGAGAATTTAGAATTTTCAAGAATCTCAATATTTAAGACCTGTCCATCCCATGGAGATAATATGTATCATTATTGACAGTTCCTTGACAGACCGTTGCTGGACTCGGACGATGAGATGCTTGGTTCTTTACCAATAACAATATTGTAAAATAGATGGCGTCAGCATCAATAGTGCCTTGTGAAGTCGTTTTCTTCAACACTGTAGCCCCAATTGTACCAACAGCTGTCAATATTTTTGGGTGATTAGTACTTCACAGACATTTTTATTCTAATCTCAAGTGAGAAATAACGCATTTTACATGTTTCTAGACGAACACTCATTTTTACCCATTGCGACCGGGAGAACATCCACATTTTCAATTGATTAGACATAAGTGAGGACCTGCCTTTGTGTTACATTAAACATTGGCTCTAAGCAAGGAATATTTACCGCTATTCAACTTTCGTACATTATAATCAGGTAAATAGAAAATTCAATTTTTTTATTTAGATCTCACTTCAGGGTATGTCAATTCAACCCATATAAATTTTCAAAAGAAACTGTTTTTCATCTAAATTTAGTTCAAAATTTATATTTATTTTGGCACTGCTGGTGCTCTCTCGTGAGTGTTGATATAGAGAATGCGTTTAAACGCGTCGATTTGGTTGAAAATCATACATGAAAGACGTTCAAAGACATCTACTGATCTGAGATGGTAGTTTAAACGCGTTGCGTTTGTGAAACGCATATGAGAGGAATGCATTTTAATGCATAATCTTTTAGTTCTAAACGAGTTTAAGCCCTCCGCCTCCCCCGTCAGAAACAGAAATTTTTTAAGTCGGTATTGAGCTGAGCATATCAGCATATAGCCCACAGTACCTAGTATCAGGATCCAATGTTATTTAGCCCTCATCAAAGGGGTACGAAGGTTTTTAGAAAAGTCTTCTGAAAACCTTGACAAGTTGGCTTTTCGAAAAGATTTATTTTCCAATTAAAAAACAAATCGAAAATTCTCTTTAGTATATAGGAAAATAGAGAAAACATTTCGGATCAAAATGAAATATTTCCCAGCTCTGAATGAGGTTCTGATCAAGAGTTATGAGAGTTTTGCTGGAAGCCCTAAAGCATGCATCAGATACTGACGCCAGCATATCTCGAAAGCGACTTTCGCCTTAACACAATTTCGTAGTTCCCAGATTTCTCGGTAACGAAACATCGCAGAGAGTTCAAGATGGTCTAAAATTGAAGCTGACACATGTGGCTAGAGGCTGACGGAGCCCGATTTTTGATATTATGTCTAGATTTATGATTAGAAAAACATCTTTGCCAAATTTAATAAGACTTTTCGAGTTTTGGACTTTTGACGCTGACCATTAGTTCGAAAAGTAAAATATCAAAAATCCTTAAACAACCAACTATTCTTGATTGACAGTGGACCAAAATCTTGGTTTCTGTGTTTATATTCTACAGAAATTTCTTTTTTTTAGCCTTTTCTGTATAATTTAGTATATATTTATTCTCAAGTAAAATTTTATTGATAGAGAGAATCCTGGCGAAAAATTAACTCTCTCCGATGTCAATTTCAAAGACTTCAGACTTGTGAATATTAGATTTTAGTTACTTCAGTCGTAGACTTGAAATTTGTTCACTGTAAAAGATATTTTATTATCATAATAAACGGTTATTTATTAAGGTGCCGGCATTTCAAAAAGATAGCAAAAGAATTTTTTCGACTTTTTTAGAGATAGAGCTATCTCTCCTTGGATAAATAGAGCTCGGTGAGTCACCTAGAGAAAATTCCATTTAAGACTTTACAAGGTCATTTTTGGATGAAAGATTTTAGAAATACTAGTTTTTAAAAAAACGGGTAAAAACTCAGTGAATTTCTGAAAGATAAGCAAAAGTTTCATATCGGGTGTTCTTTTAAAATTTCAAACATATTTTGTTCTGATTCAGCATACAAAACTACGTATACTTTCAGAGATAGGTTTTTGATGGGACGGGAGCCTTAAGTTCTAAGTCTTGTGTCGCTTGTCTGATAAAGAAGAAAAGTTATTGTACATTGTGTGACTGATTTCAAAAACCGTTCTTCACATGCTTTGGGTGTTGGTAACGAAACGTTGTTGGGGAGAAACCCCACACATGAACCCACCCGAAGAACATATTACAGTTACAAGGCTTGCAGTACTCTCTAAAAAAAAACGTATTTTAAAAAACCCAAAAGGGCACTGCGTTCTGCGCGAAACTGACTTTGGTTTTGCATAAGTTCAAAAACCAAAACTGATATTCCGACTGCTGCTAAACGGTACTCTAGAAACCAAAGGATTTTTCGTTTGAAAAAGGATATTTCACCTTTGAGAATACCCTTAGAGCGTATTTCATTTCCATTAGGATACCAAAAATGATTTAGTAGGTAGGTTACGAACCATTGGTATCTTAAAGTACCAAAACGGTTTTCTTATTAATACGAAATACCTTTTTTATGAAATACCAAAACTGGTTTTGTAGAATACCGAAAGGGTATTTTCATTCTTAAAATCTGGGCTGGGCAACTACGCCGAAGTTCAACTACAACTCAACTCTAACTCCAGCTCCGTTTTTAAATTTGCGATCCAACACCAACTCCGTTTCAAAAATTCGTAACTGTCAGTTGTGACACCATTGTTTTTGTTAGTCAAAAAAAAGAACCATAGTGATTATTTCCTTAGGTATGCGTCACTCTTTTATGAAGAAAAGAAAGTGTAACAAAAACAATTACACAGAGTTGAGAATAAGAATGAATAGAAGACAACTCTGTTCTCAAAAATTCCAATTCCAACTTTTCTGAAGCCAACTTCAGTCCCACTTAAAATTCACCCAACCCCGAAGTTGGAGTTGCCCAGTCTTGTTGAAAATGCTCTTTTGATTCTGCAGGATACAGCTGATTTTTTCAAAATACCCTGAAAGGTATTTAAAATACTAAAAATGGTAGCTTTTTAAAAACCCTTTTGGTTTTTAAGATGCCAATTCGTTGCTATGATTTTTGACCCAGGTCTTTTACGCTTAGTTTTTACGCCTGTTTTCGTCACCAAATGACTTTTTTGCCATGAATCAACCAAATGTGACGCATTTGTAAACGTTTGGCAAAATTGATGGTATTAACTGATCTTTAGATCTAGTTCTCGTGGATTCCCATTACAAATAATTTTTTGTTCTAGGAACTACAGAAATTGCTGCGCGAAGTTTCTATGTTTTTTGAGTCTCCCTGTCTTTCAGAACATTGAAAACAGATTAGATTGTGCTAAAAATTCTAAATTGTGCTACAAATTTATAAAGGAAGAAGAAATTTCCTCTTCGAAACGAGCTTGGAAGTAGTTTGAAATGTTTTAGATAGCGCTGAATTTAATCGCGGAGAAAAACTACATCAGACATGTGAATATGAGCTTGATCTGAGAGGGGGTCGATTTTGCCTTTTATCGACCTGATTTCTGACAGTTTTTTGGTATTTCCCCTAATAATTCGATAAACAAAGGTCTAAAAGAAAATTCCAAAATTATACGTTTGCTCTACGACCTTGAGTACCTATAGTAAGTTTTCTGGTGAACGGCAACAGTTAAAAACTTAAACAAAAACGAATCGATCCATTGAGTTTCCGATCAGTCCTGAAAATTTGAAGCCTGAGTTTTAGTTTTTATTTCACAGCATTTCTACGGAAAGCCCAAAATGTGGGGAGGGTTATCTTTAAAGCTTAACCATGCGAAACACCGAAAAGTACAGTAAGCAAAATCCAATAATATAGTACAGATATTTTCGAAGTTGAATTTGTTGTTGTAATTGTAGTATCTGGAGAAGTTGCTGTCGACGTACTTATGGTAGCGGTGGTGGTGGTGATCATATTGAACAATGACCATGGATAGAATTGGTTCGACAGTTCTTTAATTTTGTATAGTTGTTCTCTTGTATTGCATAAGTTTTCGTTATTACATCGATATGCAAAAACATTTCCATCATCAGACAGTGAAGGTGGGGAACTTTGCATAGTTTGACTTCCTAAACTGCGTTGCCGCCCTGAGGATCCTATCTTCGTTGTTCTGTTATCGAACGATATGTGATCATTAATGCGCCATAACAAAGAGTACAGTTTACTATTTGATTCGTCCAAGTATCGGGACATTTTTGTACTGGATTACTAGTTGTGTTAGCAGTAGAAAATTCCGTTTGCATTTCATTCATTATTGTTTTCTTATTAAAATGAAAATTGAAAGATCGGTTGTCAATCGTATACAAGAAACGTTTTTTCTGCAGCTACTCTTCCTGTGCTATTGTCAAATAAGCACCGTGAAAGGCTGGAAGCGTCGAAAACCTCGTTTTGATACTTTTGTTAGTGTTAACCAAACAGAGCTTTAACTAATACCAGTTTTTGCAGTATAGTCAGTATCCTGTGCTCAACTGCGCATCACGCCCGATATTTCATAAGGCTCGAACTTTGTGGGACGATGCCCGCGAAAATCAGTAGCGTCATTAAGAAACAGCATATACCTTTTGAATGAATATTTCTATCGTATCAAAATAAAATTTTTCAGCGCAGTTATCTCAAAGATGTTTACAAACTCGTAAAGTGTACAAAAACCGGTTGCAACGTGGTGAATCATGAATATAAGGAGTAGCCAGTAAAGTATCTCAATATTGATCATATATCACGAAATAGTGAGAAAGCGTGGAATAAACGGATCCATGAATTGTATTTAAATCGCGTTTCAGTTGAAGCCCATTCAGTTGGCCAAGACATATAAAGTTAGAAACTGTTCCTAAACATATTTTAGAACACCAAAATCAGTTTTAGTTCCCTTCAAAACCTGAAAGTATATTTGTAAAACATGAGAACACCCACTAACACTCAAAAACTCCCCGAAATTAAAATGTAAAACAGCCAATCGATGGCGCTCGTCCCGTTGAGTATACTAACACACAAAATAATCTTTAATACGGGAGCATTTTAGCCATGTATACAAGTAAACACCAACTACCATCACTAACAGCCACTGACACCCAGAAGGATACTGGCATCCAAAAAAGTATGTCAAGTTGATCTACATGAATCTCTGAGCCTCTTTTTCTGATCTATTTCTTCTGATGGCAGAAACTGATCTATTTTTATTTTTGGGGGTTGGGTATCGCACCTACCCACCAACCATCAACGTCAGCCCTGATTACTTTACTGAAAAGGCTTGATCAAGCAGAAAATTATTTATTGTTGAGTATTCGAAGGAAGAAACAATAAATCAATTCCACTTTATGCTGTGTAACATGAAATCAATCGAATATTGGGAGATCGTACACGCTACGGTTTTCAGATACTTATTAGTTTAATAGAACTCGTTTCGATCATGATGATTTTACTTTTCAATCGAATCTCATCATAATTTATTTCTTATCCATTGCTGTTAGCTTCCAACTTTTTCTCTGTCTGAAAAAGCTGATTCAGAAAACGACAATTTTAAAAGAAAACAGTATTGAACAATCGACTCTCGTGTTTACTGTGTTGTGAACTTCAAACGAACTATTGACCTTATTCTTCACGTCGTCTTTTTCGATACGAATTGCTGTTTTTAGCAAATAACGTAACTGTAAATAAACTTCCTCAAAAAATGCGGAATTAAAATGCAAACTAGCGGTTTTGTAAAGAATGTCATCGGCTTCCTATCAATATATAATATGTCTATATATCCTGTCCTTGAAAGTTCTTTATATACGACATGAGAACACGACTAACGATAAGGTGCATATTATTGTCAACGACTTCTGGACAGCCTTCAATTGATTAATTATCTTTTCAACGTTGATGAAATTTTTCAATATAATACATTTCTTAGGAGAGAAAATAAATAAAAGGAAACAAGATTCTCTAAAGCGTCGCTTGTTGTGTTGTCACCAGAGACCAGTATTAATAGACGACAATTTGGTCTTATATCCTGTAAATGTCACGCAGCATAAAGTGGAATTGATTTATTGTTTCTTCATTCAAACACTAAACAATAAATAATTTTCTGCTTGAGCAAGTCTTTTCTAAAACATTCAAAAAGCAATTGACTTGATTTTTATCTTAAATTATGTTGCTATCTTCCTTTTTCTGTGCTTTTTTAATGAAAAAGCTTAACAATTTTACTTGTGTATTGACATTTTGCATGCATCAGAATAAGTGGGTCATCTTCAACTCAGTATAACCAGCTTCTTCACAACAATTTTTGTATTGATATTCGTTTTCTAGAGATTTTAAATCGATTACATTTGTTTTTCAAAAATTTCATTAATTTTGTCTCTTTTCAAAGTTTCAATATTTTGAAATTTTTTTCGCATAAAAAGGTTTTTCAAAAGTTTAAAACCGACATTTTCATATGTAACTCGACTATCCAACCATGGCGAAAAAGGAAAACCACTGCTGCTGGTTTTTGAATTGCCCGCATCTTAGGTTCCAGCTACCATTCGACAATATAAGAAAAAATCACCCACGTGTCTTACCTCAACAACAGCGTCATACATACCTTATTGAGCAGAAAGTAGTAAACGCTTTGTATACATGCATTAAAGCAACTTAATTGTTCGTATAAGAACCAACGTATCAATAGACTTTCTGCTTTACCTTGCAGGATCTTGATTCTGATCAGACAAAAATGAACAGTATGTTTTGATTTCAAGAGATATAGTAGCTAAAGACTTGGTAATAAATCAGGAAATCCGAGCTGTCCAACCACGTCATTTCGAGACGAGGCTCAGTTTTCTTAATAGGTTCATCAGAATGCATTGTTGTAAAAATCAACAATTATTTGACCTCAATCTGAAGCTCGAGGCCAAATATTTCTGTTTGAAGAATCTTTTTGACAAACATGTTTTAGCAATCTAACCTGAAGTTATTGGTAGTACAGTTGTTGTTGGAACTAGAAATAATGTGAAGAAAGATAAACGTTTGTTTCTCGAATAAAACCACCACGTTTCGTTACCTGTTGATGTTATTGTAAAAGTGAATGCAATTCCTCCAAGTAAAGCATTTATAAATGCCAGCTGAATGCCGGTTGATATATAAGCGGATAAATTTGTTCCTTGATAATCAAGATGCCGAAAATAAATCATAAATAAAAAGACAAATCAATCACTAAATCAAGACGACATACTCATGTCTAAGTATAGAGTATCGTAAATCTCTTCTAGGAGAGCCCCAGTATATCGTAAACCTGTTACAAAAATAAATAGTAATCAGTTTTTGTAACAGGTTTACTTATTAATTGTTACTTATTCCAATTACTTTCGAAGTATAAACATTTTGCTATCAGTAGATAGCTGAAGGCATGCCGATTGTGAATATGTGCTTTGAAGTCGCGTAACATAGCTGAGTGAGTATAGAATCATGATTTCGAGTGGGGTAACGATATTCACTATGGGTTTTATGTACACTGCATTCTGCTCGAAGGATCCATTTTCAAAATAGACATTTATACACCATTCGATAGAGAATTTGAATAGTTACATTTTACACTATTTATATTTGAGAAAAGA